TGGCATCTTGCCATTACGGTAAAAAGGCCATGGAGTGGTACGCCGCCAACAACGTGCAGGTGGTTCCCAAGGACAAGAACCCTCCCAACACGCCAGAGCTCCGCCCAATTGAGAAATACTGGGCTATTGTCAAGCGGAACCTAAAGAAGACCAAAAAAACTGCTAAGGGCGAGCAGCAGTTCAAGGCAAACTGGCTTTCTGCGGCGAAGAAGGTGCACAAGGTGGCTGTACAAAATCTGATGGCAGGGGTCAAGCGTAAGGCCCGGCAATTCGGATTTGGAAAAGCGGAAGCCTAACTGAATATTTTTCCTGAATTTTATACTAATTGAACTTGAAAAAGAAATTTAATTTGATTTTTTAAATAAACGATTTCACCGATTTACACGCGTTTTCCCTTGACCAAATTTTGACCGTATCACCCTTTACATCATGTAAAGTTCTGACACATTTCATGCAATGTAGCAAATATTGTATACAAAAGTCCATCTTTGTAAACAACATTGTTTATAAGTTGGTCGGTTGTGTGAAATGAAATACAAGTTTACGTGAATGAATGTTTACATCACAATTAAAATTCAAATTTTTTATCTGTGTAGTTTTAGAAGGATTTATGTTCAATCCTTCCCTATCACACCACGATGAGACAAAATTTGCCACGTACAATTATGACTATATCATCGGCGAAGCCAATTATTTCGAAGCCCTAGGTGTTAAATTTTTGTGAAGATCATCAACTATTACAGACCACAATATAGGTGATAACACGCCTCCTTGCGGGCATCCGTTGGTTGCTCTTACACTGATGAGTTCATCATAGTTGTAGCCATTGACTCGTGAGATGAATTATCGAATGTACCTTCAATGTCAAGGAATGCAGCAAGTAAAATTTCGTTTGCTTCAGTAGTAAAATTACGTTTATTTTCCATTGTTTATGATTTTACATTGTTAGTACATTCCAATTGATTAGCTTGAAGGGCTCTTCATCTTTGTTTAATTTGTTATTCTAATTTACGTGTTTACGTTTTTTCAACTAGTTTACAGGGCTGCATTTTGCTTGATTAAAAACAAAAAACTATTTTATATCCTTCCGAACTAATAATAACTTAACCTTGTAACGGGTCGGGTGTTTTGGACAGGGAATTGATTACAGACTTCACTTAAGCGCCAGGTAGACGTGTATACCGTGAAGAAAGCGCGATTCTCAAATGGACCCGTCCCGGTTCAGAAATCTCAGGGCGAGTTCAATCCGAACTCAAAAGGCGGTAAAGTGGTTTCCGAACTCCAAAAAGTTAAACTTACTAACAGGGGAAAAGCCTCATCATATCGGCAATAGAGGTTTCCTATGTTGGTTTGCCTCTAATTGCCTACAGGGATACGCGATACACGATACGCGAATATTCCAATTAGATGCTTAACACAAACTACCCAACAAACAATTTGAGTTGATCAACAGCTGATTAAGCTATTTTTTAGCTGAAGAAGCTTGTTTTTGCCTGAATAAGCTCTTATTCAACATTCAATGTTTGTTGGGTACTACGCTTCAGATCCCCTCAAAGTAACCCTAGGGTCGATAGCCTACTTTTTTTATTTCCTGGGTGGATTGGCGGTTCGGTGATACGCTGGGTGACGCCAGTGGGTGGTGGTTTCCACTGATTGCGTACGTCCTCGTTATACGACGGGGTCGTGGCTTCGATACGATCACCCCCCGCGGCATGCACCCTATGTGTATCGGATCGTCGAGCGTTATGTTTGGTGTACGGTGTAGCGAGATACACCACGCTGCTGAGGTGAGCTTCCAACCAATTTGTGGCGAAGCTTAGCTCTACAGTTCACCTCAACAGGTGTCAATCTATCTGCAGATGGCATTCGGGTGGCGTACGTCTTGCAAAGTTAGGTTATCGTTCGGTCCGAACAATAATGCCGAACCGTGGACTCCGACGCTCGGTCGTGTCGGTCTAGCGCGAGGGGGTCAGACGGTTCTGGATTTCCGTCCCAAGGGGTGCACCCTTGTTTGAAGGGATTAATCCTGTACAAACTGTGTTTTTCACACACGTGGTTTCAGACTACCGCACTTCTCGCATTAGATCTAAGTTTTCTGTAAAAGCTATTTTTATTGCTTCCTGGATATCTAACCGTTCTACTCAGACTTCGACCGTGTTCACTTCAGCGCAGTTGATCTATTAATCCTCCAATTGATGCGTTCTCTTTTTACTCTATCCGAACCGAAGTCTATCTTGTTGGAGTTCGGTATCCATTCATGACCATTCGGAAGAGTATTTCCGTTGGCATAAACTCTACCTACCGATTGTCAGTTGGAATCCCTCATCTGATATTCTATTTAGAGTGGATCCAGAGACTAGGCACGTGTTGCTCAAGTGAACTTAGTATGGCAATAGGGTTCTGTAGGTTTCTTTTTATTTATTTAAATTTTTAAATGTACATTTGTAACCTTGTTACAACCTAATTAGAAAGATCCCTTATGATCTGGTGATTTAATCTCAGGCAGGCGTTTATGAACTTTTCGAGGCTGAGTGTACTCCGCTCCTCAAGTGTCTGAAGAGCAGCCAGGCAGTGGATCTCAGAATTCCGAGTCCGCGGGGGATTCTTGAGGATCATCCTAACGATCTTGTTCTGGATCCTTGCAAGTTTGAGGTGATGGTACATAGCGCTGCTCGCCCATATTGACGTTCCATACTCAATGACAGGAAGGATGATTGCTTGTGGATGGCAAGCTTGTTTTTGAGGGAAAGGGTGGACTTTCTGTTGATAAGTGGGTAGAGTGACCTAATCATTCTTTTGCTTTAATAGATCTTTCTAGTTTTGTAACAACTGCCACACTGCTGGTATATAGCTTAATATTAAGCTTGCTCGAAATAGCTTTGTTAGAATAGGCGTTGCAAAAGAATATTTGGATCGAAGTTATATTCCATAAATGTTCGATATTGCTCCTGGGATATTTCAAAAGTTACTGGAAGGAGATCAAAACCGAAGTCAGGAATCATACTTACCTTACCAATCAAGCTAAGGCCTTGTTGTCCTCTGCTGTCCGAAGAATTCTTCTGCACTCTACTCGATCCATGGCCACACTTCGTCAGCCTCGTAGTCTGTGAAGGGTCCGCAGGTCGCCTTCTACTTGGTCGATCCACTTTGCCCACTGCGTGCCTCTTCTTCTTGTTCCTGTTGGGTCGCTTTCGAGAACCATTATCACTGGGTCGTCGTGCGGCATTCTTACGACGTGCCCAACCCATCGTGGTTGCCCATTTTTTGCAATGTGAATGATGGATGGTTCTCCCAGCAGCTGATGCAATTCGTGGTTCATTGGCCTCCTCCATGTTCCGGCATCCATCTGCACTCCATCGTAGATGGTACGCAACACCTTCCGTTCGAAAACACCACGAGCATAGTCCAGGTCTCGTGGCCGTAGACGACCACCGGTCTAATCAGCGTCTTGTAGATAGTCAACTTCGTGCGGCGGCGAATTTTCTTCGACCGGAGCCTCCACTGGAGTCCACAGTAGGCACGATTTCCTGCCATAATGGGTCTTTGAATTTCTCTGCTGGTATCATTTTCGGCGGTCGACCACCTCAATTTTGTCACCGTCAATCTGAACTCGGGGTGGGAGGCTAACATTGTCTTCCCTAGAACCTCATCTTCTCATGTATTTCGTCTTCGATGCGTTGATAGCAAGTTAAATCCGCCTAGCTTCAGCCGTCAGTCTGATGTACGTTTCCGCCATCGTCTCAAAGTTCTGTGCCATAATGTCAATGTCATCGGCGAAGCCAAGAAGCTGGATGGACTTCCTGAAGATCGTGCCACTCGTGTATATCCCAGCTCTGTTGATCACACCTTCTAACGTGATGTTGAATAGCAGACATGAAAGTCCATCACCTTGCCGTAACCCCTTCGAGATTCAAAGAGACTCGAGAGTGTCTCATCACATCACCCGATCCATCGTCGCCTTGACCAATCGCGTCAGTTTATCCGGAAATCCAGTCATGAATCAGTTAAGACCAAATCAATAGTTGAGGGAATTCTTACTTACGTGAATAAAATAGTTAACAACATTTTCATCGCTCAGAAAATTGTTTTTCCTGCTTTTCTTTGTGATTTTCCTCCATCCAAATTTTTCAGATTATATTTTATGTGGATTGCATTTGTAATTTCCTTATCATTGTACTACAAACAATTTGTTCTACGATGTTGGTTCATGAGTAGTTAATTTTCAAAGTACGTGATATCTGTGACAGACAACCCGAAAACTTCAACAAAAGCTTTCCCGGAAAATTTGCCATCCAAACGTTTTGATAATAAACTATACCTGTGGGCGAAATTTCATACCATTCCAAAAACCTTCGGCCTAAACCTGTACGATAATTGAAAAAAAATCCCCTATTGACAATATTTCCGCTCTTGTGGTGGGCACTTAAGTTTTCGACTTTTAAATCGGTTTCTTGCCGTACACTTCTAACCCAGCCACTGTTTAGTTGCTATGAACAGTTCGATCCAAAATGTGACATCTACGTCCGTATATAACAAAATCCCCGGATTGATGTTTAGAAATCTCTTGTTCGTTGATTATTTCAACACGAATCCCGACTAGGTTCCCACAAACCGGTATCCATCAAATAAGGAATTCAACGTGCAGAAAAAATCTTAAGCTACGAATCTTTCCGCTGGGCAGCGGGAAAAGCCATACAATTTAGTTATATCAACACATAAGCGAAATTTGATACACTGCGTAGTTGGGACCCCGAAGCCAAACACTCTCAACCGTCTTGCTATATGCCATCGCTCGCACTTAATCTCAAATGTTTATAATTTGATAAAATAGTAAATATTACAGCACTCGTTCTACATGATAGATTGCGCTATATAATTACTAACATAGTATCAAAGTTCAGCACACAATGAGTCAGATAGAATTCTAGCAACATAGTACGGACACGGATTCGATATGGCACAGTGAACCAATTTTCCTAGGCTCAGTTGACTCTACTTACACCAATCAAAGTAATCCTTTATCCGCACCAATCGCTGGGGATGTTTTCACTGCTGAAAACGATCGCGAAAAGATTCACCAAATATCACGATTTTTACTCGAAAACCGTGCAGAATTCCACACACGCCTAGTAAAATCACTTTGTCGTCTTCGATATTATTGCTGACTGCCTTGCTTTGCTAGTTACTTCTGCCATCTGTCAGATACGGGCCAAGGAGTTTGGTAGAGCAGCATGGCTGACTGCGATGTTCTCTGTCCCGTTCTAATTTTTGTTTTCTGCTGCTTGTTTATGTTTACGATTCGGGTTGGCTTTGTCAGTAGGCTAGCATTTGGCAGTGCTGACGATTTGAGTTCGGATTTGAGAAACATTCGGTAGGTTGTGGTCATTTTCGTCATCTTCCAATAATCGACATGAAATTTGGCAATCTTGGACGAAATATATGTTGTTTCGCGTTCTAATGTTTTTTTTTTCAACGTGCTAAAGAAAGTAAATATTTCTGAATTTTGACTGTCCCTTATTCTTAAACTTGTTCCGTCTGTCTGAATACTGTATAATATTGTCTTGATGTTAATTTTTTGGTTTAAGAATTTTAATCAATCTCCGCCTTCTTTGCAGATACTGCAGATACTTCAGGAAAAAAAATAGTAAAACAATTTTGGTCAGACCTACGGAATTAATAAATTAACGAATTAAAAGCCTATGAATTGTAATTTATTAATTCATATGTTAAATAGCCATTAGATCAGGTCTGAAGGAAGCCAGCATTAATCGATCATTTATTGTATTTGTTACAGTTTAATTAGGAATACAGCGGAAATTTGCTCGTTGGTTGGGCCTCCGCTGGCAGGGGCATGTCCCAACTAAAAAGCAACTGGATGTCAAAATCTCATGTGAAATTAGATTTGACAATTATACAAAAAAAAATCCCCCAAGGGGTAACTCGCTTTGAATTGCGCAATAATTTAAACGATTGCAAACATTTGAGTTTCATTTGAAATTCTAGAAGAAAACAAAAAACATATATTAAGAACATCAGCACTTCAAGCAACTTGCTTCTATCCGAGGTGGCTTTTGATAACTCTTCTCAACCACAACAAAGGATGCGCATACCTCCCAACCAATTTTAGCCTTCTGTCAGTTGACCAAACTAACGAACCGAATTCGTTAGTTGGGCCAAGGTGGTAGCCCAACCAGCAAATTTCGACTGTAGTTAAACATTGATTCCACATTATCACATTTACTTGATATGGCAACATGTTCCAGTTCCATGATGTTTGATGCTATTGTGGGGATAAAGCAAAGAAAATGAAACAACTATAGATACACAGTTCGCCTTGAAGCATTCATACAGATGAGTGTGAGTGAATGAGAGCGTTTAAGGTTGATCAGCTGTTCCAATGTTTGCGTTCATGCTGAAGTCCGAGTAGCTGTCAATGATGTCACTGTGTAGCTTTGAAGTTTTGCTATGAAGTGAGGTATAACGTACGGGTTTATTCGAGCAGTTTAAAAATACGGTTAGCTTGATACAAGTGGTCCATTTATGTTCAGTTACAGTTTCATGATTAGAACAAAAATATGTGCGTTTCCAAAGGGAATTAAGTGGAAACTTTTTTCAGTGTAGAAGAAAAAAGATCTCAGTCTGCCTTTCCTCGACATTTATCATGTCTCGGTAATTTTCAAACTCCCTTTAGTTTTGACTCACTCTTCCTGACTTGATACTTCCAGGGTGGTTCGTGAACCGGGAATAAACCGTGAATCGAAAACAACCGGGAATTTTATTGGATCCTTATTATATATTTTTTCCTTTAACCGGTACTACAAATATTTTTTTACTTCAGTATACCAAAAATTAAATCTGAGATCTATAAAACAATTGCCATTTGGAATATTTTTGTTAATTTTAAAACGTTGGCAACTAAATTTTCACGTGGCAGAACCAGGAAAATGACTCCATTTGTAGGAATACACGTCCAGAATTTTAAATTGTTACACTTTTCTTAAATTTCCAGCCTCATAATCTTGAAGTTTTCCAAGACCTGGATATTGAAATTTGTTCACAATCAATCAATCAATCATAAATCGTGAAATTTTTTGTTAATTCTGTGTACGGAAACTGGATTTATTTTTTATTTTTCAATGCTTGAATTTACTATTTTATTTTTCTTTTTAACTTATCTTAGGATATCTTTGCAAATTTTTCAAAGATTATTTTTAAATTTCTTTAGAATAACTTTTACTCAATAATCCTATAATTCTGTCTGGTATTCCTTAGAAATTTGGTCCATAACTGTCTCGAAATTCAGTGCAAAATACTTAAGGAAATGTCTCAAAAAAAAAAAAAAAAATATTCGTACAAATTCCTCTGCTGTCAGCGAGGAATAAATTCTATATTCGTACCCGTAGGTACACATAGCTCACAAGCTTTCAATTCTTCATCTATACCTGCTGCTAACAATGTTCAGCAAGTAAATGGAGCTACCTATGCTTCTATTGCAACTAGTAGAAATCGAAATCACAATTCTAGCCAACATAATTCTAACGGAAATTTGGATGATTTTGACTTGCTCCTAAAATGGATTTTTTACAGAAATCATTAATCAACATGATTACTGATATGCTGAAAACTAGCTCCATGTTTGATGCTATTTAAACTGGAGTGAAATTTGTTAATAACATAGTCCCGACTTTCAAATTCAGTAATGGAATTTAAATCATTAAATATTTTGAATTGGATTGCTCGATCTCTTAAAGATTATGAGGACGAGCTATTTAACTTTTTGCGAGTTCATAACGTGCATATTGCCGTTATAACTAAAACGTTCCTTAAACCTGACCTGTGGTGGCGTTGCCATCATTGTTCATAGACGAATCAAACATAAAATTATTTCTTCATTTGAAACCAAAGTTTTTGAAACTTTGGGAGTTTCTGTCGAAACAAAATTTGGACAACTTACGTTTATAGCTGCCTATCTGCCATTCCAATGCGTAGGCCAGCAAAATAATTTTCTTAAGGGTCATTGGTCTAAATTCTTCATTATTGGTGATTTTATTGCAAAGCGGTGCTCACGGAACAATGCTCTAAGCAATTCCAATGGTAATATGTTATTTGAAGATTGTTCTGCAGGTTATTACACTATTCAATATCCAAACAGCCCAACATGCTTTTCTTCAGCAAGAAATCCCTCAACTATTGATTTGGTCTTAACTGATTCATGTCAACTTTGTAGCCAATTAGTTACCCATGCTGACTTCGGTTCTGATCACCTTCCAGTAATCTTTGAAATATCCCAAGAAATAATTTCTAATCCCAACAGGTTTACTTTCAATTACATAAGAGCTGATTGGGAGCAATGTCGAACATCGAGTTTAAATCTGATTCAATTATAATAGACGATGATCTTCAGCTCTTGATCCGGCTGAAAAATGCCCGTAGGAGGCAATATCAAAGAACACGCGATCGTGCCATGGAAGCTATCGGGCGGGATTTGCAAAAACAAATTAAAATGCGATTCTCTGCCCTGACGAACAAAGCTTTTGAAAATAATTTTTCGAAATTAGACCCGAGTTCCAAACCCTTTTGGAAACTCACAAAAAATTTGAAAACAAAAAACCGCAAAAGCCTATTCCACCGCTTAAAGAAGGTGGTAAAATTTTGATCACTAATTCGGAAAAAGCTCTGAAACTTGCTAAGCAATTCGAGAGTTCCCATAATTTCAGTTTGGGCCTTACTAGTTCTATTGAGAATCAGGTTGCTCGGGATTATCTGAATATTTTCTCTCGGGAAAATATTTTTGATGATTCCTGGGGGACTGATTTGGACGAAGTAAGATCTATAACTAAAAAATTTCAAAATATGAAAGCTCCAGGTGAAGATAGAATTTTCTATATCCTCATCAAAAAACTCCCAGAGAGTACCTTGTCTTTTTTGGTAAAATTATTAAAAAGATGTTTCCATTTGGCATTTTAAGAGATTTTAAGTTCCATGCGCATTCAAATTTTGTTTTGAGGCCGTGATCTTCCATATTGGAAAATTTTCCTCGTTTCAGAATAATGAGATTATTTATTAGACTGCTATCTTGAAAAGTTCCCGAATAGAAATTTACATTAGCCCAACGTTTGATTCTGATGTCTACATCAGCATCGAAATCAAATGTATGCCTGATGTCAAACATTAGAAAACATTATGATTTAGTTGTATTTAAGCAACGTAACATGGTGTATACATCAGAAATTTTGGAACAAAATTTTGCCATTCTAATGTCGGTCTGACGTCAAAAATTTCAATCTATTGACATTAGAACCAAACGTTTTAAGGATGTTTTCGGATGTACAAAACGTTAGAACTAAACGTTGTTCGGATGTTTTTAATTGTACTTCGTGTTTGTTGTTCTCTGATGTTTTCAGATGTACAAAACGTTTAAAGTAAACGTTGTTTGAATGTTTTCAAATGTAGATGTTTACTAATGTTTTTAGATATACAAAACACTAGAATCTTACTTTTCAAATGCTTTCAATTATATTTACAACACATTAGAATTAGAAACATGATCGTGTAAACACTACACACCATTGTTGTTAGATAACATAATAAAAATGCGTACATAACTGTCAATGCTGAAGCTCCCGTTTCCCACCAGTCAGTTAACTGACCTTAGCTAACCTAATATCATTGCGGCAACTCTCTATGCGGCAGGGGAACTATGCCATTAGCGCGCTAAGAGTTGTTAGACCACTGACATAGGCGCCAATTTGTAGGTGACGAGGCACTTGGTGACATTACAGCGAGCTTGACGATTTTTGCAGCATTTTTTTTTAGCAAACTACCAGTTAAGGTGTGTAGTGTTTACAAGATCTTGTTTCTAGCTCTAATGCTTTGTACAATTGAAAGTATTGAAAAAGTTAATTCTCATGTTTTGCACAACCGAAACCATCAGAAAACATAAAATTGTACAAAAAAAGTCATCCATTCTGGTAGACTATCTCTTAAATGCATAAAGAATAGCCATTGCTTAAGCTCCCGTTTCCCACCAGTCAGTTAACTGACCTTAGCTAACCTAATATCATTGTGGCAACTCTCTATGCGGCAGGGGAACTATGCCATTAGCGCGCTAAGAGTTGTTAGACCACTGACATAGGCGCCTATTCGTGGGTGACGAGGCACTTGGTGACATTAC